GGGCGAGGCCTCTCTCGGCCCGCGGGGCTCAGGTTCTCTGTCACCCCGCGAGCTGAGAGTCGTAAGTTTATCACTGTGGGATTTCTGTCGGGCTTTCTCTGAATCCGTAATGTTCTACATAGGAGATTTCGTGACGCCGTAGTCACATTCCTGGCCTATTTTGGTGCACCCCGTAGCCGTTTTTTTTTTTTTTAAATGAGTCAGCTGTGAAAGAACTCACTCGTCATCTGACTGCTTGAATAATTAACTTTAGTCTCAGATGCTAGAGCCTAAGCTGTGGACCACTTGAAAATCAAGTGTGATTGTCACTTCTTATTCTGCCACATCACATCAAGGTAAAAGGACCCGTTAGTGTTTGTCTTTTCTTTCTTGACTCTTGGGGGAAAATAGTATTGACAGTTAAGAGTCGAGTGTAAAGGAAGACGTGGAGCCGGATGGGTGTTGCAAGAGGGTTGTGATTTCATCTTGGTGTTAGAACAAAGTTCTCCAGGTGAAGTTATCCTTCCCTCAGAGTACGAGTAGGCTGTATTCTACGCTGCTTTGCTCTTTAAACAATATCCGGATTCCAGGAGCTATCCCTCTTGATAAATGTATCTTTCAGATCAGTTCTTGAAATCTTACTTTAGATATTTGAGGATTTGAAATCTTATTCTGTAATATGTTCTGAAATTTTATGTATTTTTAAAGTACGAGAATACATTTTCATAGTTTTCCTCTTTTAATGTACTTGTATATTGGAATGAGAGATTTGGACATAACAAGGAATAAATTAATGAAATACTATGGGCCAGCAAAATAATATGATTTGTGTGTGTGTATGTTATTTAAAGGGCTGAATAAAATCATTTTCATGATCACCGTCTGTTAGGTTTGAGGCTTAAAAAGTTAGATAGTATGTGAACATTGTCTTGATAGGAATTCCATAGCCTTGTGTCTTTTTTTTTCTTCTTCTTGAAATGTGACCCTCGGATAGGTTAAGGCCTATGAAATTGCTGATTTTGAGGTCAAGAATGGTTGGATGTCATTTCATGTGGTTGGCACTTGTCCTGTATGTATTGGATGGATGACTGGTTAAGCTGTCTTAACATTTTCTGGAAGGTTAACTGGAGGTACAGTGTTCACACAATTGAGGTCCTTCCTCTAGAGTAAAATCTGTTAAGTGGATTTATTCGTTTCCTTGGTTCCTTCCCCTCAAACAAATTTATTTGGATTTAATCTGCTCCAAACTTTTTCTCAATACTCAGTGGTGAATTGTCAGCTGCTCACTGTAAAATTTTAACACCTTTATCTCTTTCAGGAAAGGATTATATTTAGGGAGAAAGTTAGCTTGCTTTTCTAGCTAGATATACATTATTGGTGTATGTGATATGCTATGGAAAACAACCCTGAACACTTATCTTTCTGGATAAGATGAGAATTAATGACTCTTGAGAAGCCTATGCTTTTTAAGAAGAATTAGTACAAAAACATTTGTTACGGATACAATCTCACAGGTTGTTCTAACCAACAGTTTCTATTTCTTCATAGATTTAGAGTCAGTGGAAGTGAGATAACACTTGTGTTGTTGAGAAATCATTGTGCAACAAAGGACATCTTAATGAATTCAAAGTAATGGGTTATTTTTCCAGTTTATTTCAGACTTGGATTGTAATGAGCCTGTGTGAGGGCAGCCGGGAGATCAGAATCATGAAACTGGTCCTGCCACGTGTGTGATCTTGTGTGCGACACTGGAGCACTCTGGGCCTTCCTTTCTTCATTTGAAAAATGAGGCTGGAGTAGAAATCTCTCAAACCATATCTAGTGTTAAATGTATAAGATTCTTTACTTCTGTGGCTAGCCAGGGTGAAGTATAAAGAAGTAGCAAGGTTCAGAAATTGGAAGAGATTATGGAGACTTTCTGTAATCTAAATTGCTATTCCTCTTATATCCCCATCCTTTTTGGCCAGTTTCATTTGTAAGTTAAGGAATGCAGATTAGCTATAATCACACTGTGTATTATTAATTTGGCCTCCTCTGAGTGGAGTGGTGGTTGTAACTTCTTCCATCTAGATTCCTGCGTGGAGAGTGTTTTGCTCCTTTAACTTTGAAAATATGAAGGCTTAAACCTTTTGGTTCTTAATTATTTTCAGGTTGTGGATTTCTTTCAAAATCTAATAGAATAATAGACTCTCTGCCTAGAAGAATGCATATATGGAATTTAGAATACCTTTCAAGCTAACCGTGTACCCCGGTTAATCGCTGTTGGCTTATACTCAGAGCTTGCATTAAAATTTGTTGCTTTGCACTGTACCAAGTCCCTACCTTTCCTGATGAGATATCATTAATGACAACCGATGCTGTTAGGATTAGCAGTTATGTCAGAAAATCCCCAGCTCAGTGTCTGGCACGTTGTCAATGTTCAGTAAATAATAACCAATACTGTTATTATTTATATTGTTGTTATTATTATAATAGTATTATTATCATTACTACTCAGCAAGTTTCTATGTTTTTGTAATATTTTCTGTGGTGACCAAGTACAGATGCATATCTTTTCTATTCTTAAATTGTGGGTAACTGAAATTTTTAGTGAAATCTTCATTTTTATTAATTTAAAGTCTAATATTGGGAAGAGAAGAAAATTTTTATGAGTAGTCTTTTCAGATTCTTATTAGTACTGTCACCTGACTCATGTTGGAAGTAAGTAAAATTAGTTGTGGTCGAAAGGGGTCAGTGTTAAGCAGAAAAATCTATGATTTGATTCTTCTGTTTTGCTTTGCTTTTGTGGTGCTGGTTTTATGATAAACATCACAAAGAAAGCAAAACCACGAAAAGGAGAGTTAGTCCTTTAAATGGGGTTAATGACACTGGGTTTGGAAACTACCAAGAGGCCATTATGTTTTGCAGTATGCCCTATTGACAAAAAAAATCTAGCAGCAATAATTAAAAACTAGAAATATTCATACTTTTTTTTTTCCTGCAGTTCAGATGTGCTAGCTGTTGCTTTGATTTTACTAATGCAGTCAATGGAATAGTCTCGTCCTACTTAGGAGATAATGTGAGGGCAGATTGATTATTTTTATAAACTTACAGCTTTAACAAAAGCTTAGATTTCATTTTTGAAGAGCTTCTAATACTGACACTTCTGCCTTATAATAAATAAAATAATTCTGGGAAACAAAATCTTAGTGCACTCTTAGGTGTCTTTTCTGTCATTTCATGCCTTCTTTCCTAGTTTCTGTACCACTTCCCAGGATTAGTCCTTTGTTGTCTCTTACCATGATCATGGCGGTTGTCTTATGTTGATTTTCTTGCATTTTTTTTTCTTTGCTGGCATTAACTTTTCAAAATGTAGAGCATTTCTTGCCATTCTTTTCTTTGAAAGCTTTTCATAGCTCCCTGTTGCCTGCTTGGTTTCATGCACCCTATGCAGCATTTGCCAGAGGATGCCTGTTCTGGCCATCATTTGATTTTTCTACCTTCACTTTTTATTGTATCTTTTCTTTTCACTTAGATAACAGTCATACTACTTGTTTCAAAATGCTAGACTTCACACCTTTCTGTTTTTATTTGAATCCAGAGTGGATTAGGCATCAGATTTTTAAAAAATTAATTTGTTGCATTCCAGGAGACTTATTTTCCCCCTTTCATCCATGTCAGTTAAAGCATGACATGCTGCTAATACTAGTACAGTTCTGTTTTTTAAAAAGAAAAAACCACAATCCTTTTCACATTTGGGTTATTTAGCAGGGGAGCATGGAGAGTATATTTTCTGGTAAACTATTTTGCTCTTGGGATTCTTTAATCATCTTTCCAATAATTTAATTCCTCTGTATATATGTACACCGAGGTAGTATTTCTGGGAGCAGACTACATCAGCTATTCTTATCTGCATCTAATCTGTGACAAAATATAATATCCATGAACGTTCGTTTAGCAGATGATTAGAAAGAAAAGTCAAATTCCTAATCTGTCTTTTTAACATCTCTTCTAGCCTGCTCTTGAGGTTCACAGATGATACTTTTGATCCTGAACTTGCAGCAACAATAGGTAAGCCTGCGTTTAAAAATACAGTAGAGCGGGAGGGAGGCGCGAGGCAGGAGCGAGCGGCTGGGCTCAGCAGCACATCCAGTGCAGCGTGGCGCTCCGGGCCTGGCCCCAGGCCCACAGCCCTGCCGGACCGCCCTTGAGCGCGGGCGCCCCGCCCGCGCCCCCCGCCCGCCGGCACCATTGCCCCATGGCGCGGCCGGGCGCCCGGCGCTCCCCAGGCTCCGCGCCGGCCGGAAGACGCTGTTGGCGGCCGCCGCGGGCGTGGTGATGCTGCTGGTGCTGGTGGTGCTCATTCCCGTGCTGGTGAGCTCGAGGCGGCCCAGATGGCCACTCTGAGATGCTGGGTACCTGCCGCATGGTGTGCACCCCTCCCTCGCGCGGGGCCCCGGCGCCACAGCACGGTCTCTGGCTTTATCATCTATTCGGATTGAGCTCCCCGCGAACCCTCCATCCCCTTGTCCCCTACGGGGTTCCTCTCCCGGCGGGGCAGAGAATGACGCGTCCCTTGCCACCCCCTCGCTGCTTGTCGCGGTTGCAGGCCCTCCCGGCTATGACGCCCCCGGCCCGCCCTCGCCACCGCCTGGACCGCAGCTAGCCCTCAGGCCGGCTCGCCGCAGAGCCGGGTCCATCGCGCCCTTCCCGGTCCCCGGGAGGCAGTGTTGACCACCTCCGCTCTATCCGGCCTGCGCTGTGTATTTGTACAATAGGATTGTTTATTGCCCACCCTGCCGGCCAGCCCACCCCAGGTTGGGGAGAGGTCTCCGCAGGGTCACTCCCCGCTCCATGCACTGCCCACCTGATCTGGAATAGTGCTGCCTGGGGAAGGGGTGGGTTGGGGGCTGGGTAGCTTCCCAGTTCTCCTTACAGCCCCAGCCCGGCTGCGCCCCGTCTGACCAAAGCTATAATAGAAACACTTCCACGCCGAAAAAAAAAATACAATAGAAATGCCAAATATTTTCTTGCCTTTAGACTGTTTTATCTAACTCCCCTGCCTTCCTCTCACCAACCCCCTTGCCTCCATGTCTATTGAAATCTTACTTGCCTTTCAACTCTACTTTGGTGTCATTAAACTTCTGGAGCTTTTGTAGATTTCACTGAGCGAAAATAACTTCCTTATCTGTTGTCTCATGGTGCTTTGTTAACACAGTGGGTATTGTGATCATCTGTATACGCATTTCTCTCTTGTGCTTGGACTGTCCTTTATTTAGCAGCATACAGTTATTTGTTTACTGTATGCCAGGCACCGTCCTACGAGGTGGGTTATGCGAGGAATAATACAGACGTGGTCAGTATCACCTAACAGTACAGTGTATTAATTTTGTATTTTTAGTGTGTGCTACAGTATCTGTCATGTATTCTGAACTCATCATATTTATTGATATTAGTTATTAAAGCTTCTTAGAAGCAGTAATACTTAAATGTCTTTTAGAAGTGAAATTTAGATTTCCTGAGTGGTTTGCCACACCAACTATTAGAATATATGAGAAGATGGAGCTAAATATTTCGGTATTACGTTTGGGGAGTAGCTGACTGTGTAAGGCATAAGAGCCAGCTTGCAGTAGTGGGACGGGCTGAGTCAGAGCAGAGTGTTGGTCTTGGTTCTGCCTTCAGCCTTGTCATCTTGAGCAAGTCATTTAACTTCATTGTCTTCATCTGTGAGTTGAGGAGTTCTGATGAGAGGGTACATTTTTCTTCCAGGTCTAAAATTTTGTGATCTGATGTGTAGAATGTAGTAAAGATGATCCTAGTATTATTTTTAGGGAAAATAAAGAGTTTTAACTGGCTTGATTTGTTCTCATTTATTGTTATATCCTACTCAGGTTTCCTGTTAATTATCACATATGCTTAATCATTCTCTCTACTTTAACACACACAGTATTCTTGTTTTTGTCTAATTGTTTGAGAGGAAATGGCAGACATGATGTCTTCAGTGTGTATTTCCTAAATGACCATGGATACTGTTCTACTGTATACAGACAGATTTCACCAGTTGTCCCACCAATGTCTTACATAGCAAAAGAAAAATAATTTCTAAAAAAAAATTCATAGAGACAAAAAAAAAGTACCAAGAAAAGCAATTTCTGGTCCAGGATTCAGTCAGGATCACACATTGAATTTATTTATTTTTAAAATTTTTTTATTGAAATATTGTTGATTTACAATGTTGTGTTAGTTTCAGGTATAAAGCAAAGTGATTCAGTTATGTATATACATAAATACATTTTTTTTCTTTTCCTATTCTTTTCCAGTTTATGTTAACTATACACACATTGAATTTGGTTATCATTTTTCTTTAGTCTCTTTTAATCTGAACATTTCTTCCGTCTTTCCTTGTCTTTCATGGCCTTGACATTTTCAACAGGAGTACATACAGATCAGTTATTTTGTAGACTATCCTTCAATTGCATTTTTCCAGTGTGTCCTCATGGTTAGATTCAGGTTATGCATTTTGGGCAGGAATTCTGCAGAAGTGCTTCTGAGAGCGTGGTGTGTGTCTGTACCATTGTTGGTGATGGGACTTTGGTTACTTAAGCTGATATGTACCAAATTTCTCCACTTAAAGTGTCATCCTGTCATTCCAACTGTGGTGGTTCTCAGATGGTGGTTTTTCAGATTCCATCATTCCATTTATATTTCTCATTTAGAATTCTGTAAGGAAGAATTCTTTTTTGTTTCTTTCTTTCCATCAATATGGGCTCATAGTGCCTCTAAATGTTTAATAAATTTTATCAGGCATTACTTAGCTTTTGTATGACATATTAACATTTACGGACTTACTCTTATGTTTATAAAAGGAATCACTTAAAACACTAGTAATTCAAAATATGTTTTAATTTGGTGTTGGTGTATTACTTGCTCCTTTAAAAAAAATTAGTAGTAACACTTGATTTTGCTCAGAACATACCTGGAAATGGGTAGTAAGGAGTATAAGAACAGTAACCAGTAGGAAATAAACCTGCCTAGAGCTAAAATGTTACTAAGGGGACAGTCTTAAATGTAATATAAACTGTCTCCGTTTCACACTGAAACGTAATCGAGGACTTGTAGAATGACAGATATTTGTTGTCCTTATTACTAAAGACTGCTTTAAAAACAAATACTAAGATTGTACCATACTGATGGGAATATACATAATTTGTTCCCCAAATGGGTCCTGGGTCTTTAAAAGTGTCTTTTTCATTTAGGCTTCAGAGTATTTTCTGCCCTAGGTTTTAACCAATATACACACGAGTTTTAAAAACAAAAACAATTAGCTCAGTTGTTAAGGGTCTTATGAAAATTAGTGTTTTGTGGAAAATTAATATTTTACCTCACAGCAAAATATTTAAAAAGCCCACCTTTGTCTTTCAGTGACATAGTGAAACCCTCAAGTTTCTGTCTTGTATAAATTAATCTTTTTCTTAATTGTTGGATTTGAAGGTGGTACTATAAGGTTGGCGTTTTGTTCACTTGCTTTCTGAGAGTTGGCTAATAACAATGTAGAGATGGAGAAACTAAAACCCCATAATCCACTATTCTTGAAGGCAGCTAAAACCCCAAGCCCCAAAATAGGTGGAATGGCTGCCAGAAGCAGGGGAGATTGAGCAGGCCGCATGTGGGAGGAAGCAGGGAGGATGCTGCAGCCGCAGAGCTCAGAGCCAGCAAGAGATGCTTCGTGAAGTTGAGAGGCCAACCCTGAGGTGCAAAACCTATATTCCTTGTTTGTAAAGGCAGAGTGGGTTTCAAAAGCTAATGGCAGGAGTTAACCTGTGTCTGGTTTGATTCGAAGAAGGGGAGACGAACGAAGCCAAACAAGGAGTCACACAAACAAGCCATTTTCGTGTTTGTCTGTCTCTGTAGCAGTAGGGGAGGAGATGCCTTTGTAGTCTACCTGTCTTCCTAGGCTGTTGAGAAGTAAAAAACTGAACAATTCTCATGTAAAACCCTGTATCAAGACAGAGCTTTGCTAGTGTAGAACTGAGCTACCGTGGCCTTCTGCATGAGCCTCTGCAGATACCTGGTGTAGGAAAACCTCACTGCCTTCAAAGATGGCTTAACTAAAGGAATCCAGCTCCAGACCACTACCACCACTCAAAGATCAGAAAGGAAGAGAGAAGTGGAAAAACAAAGGACAGATGGAGAATACTCATCGGAAAAAATGTTGCTATAAAGGAGATGAAAATAATGACCAAATATTTTGCCATGAATTTAAAGCCCTTAATGAAGATATTTACAGCTGAGACCACAAAGCAGTGTGTAAGGACTCAGAGAAGAGACAGTGTGACTGCATGAGAAAAGGCAATGTTAAGCCGCTTGAGTGGAAAGAAAAATAAATAAAATTAAAACCATCACTGAAATGAAGAATGAAAGAAAATAAAACCATCACTGAAATGAAGGTGAAATTGGAAAAAATCACAAGGGGCAATAGAGACTGTGGAAAACAGTAAAGAACATGGAGGCCAGAAATGGAGAAAGTGGATAGAATTTGCCAAAATGAGCAAAATGTTAAATTAGAGTGAGAAAGTGACAGATACAGAAATCAGAAAAGAAGATTGTCCATATGTATATTTGTGTTGCAGAAGTAGAAACATAATGAAACACAATGCGTGATGATATAACCCAAGATAACATTTCTGATACAAAAACAAACGAACACAAAATTGTAAGAATATTTAGACCAAGTTTTTGTTTGTAACATGGGAGTGTTTGGAAAAACTAAAAAGGCATTAGATTTCCCTTGCTATGATTGGGCCATATGATGGTCTTTGCCTGAGATATTTAATCACCTGCACAGATACAGTTGGTTGAAATTTATGCATGGGTGTTAGATCCTTACAGAAAGTCGTTATGCTACCTTTGCATAGTCTAATTAAATAGGCAAATTTTGCTTCATGCTAGGTTTTTGTTTTTGTTTTTAATTTACCCAGTTTTAGGTAGCCTTTGATTATAGAGTGATTTAAGTAAAGCTTTTTTAAGATTAAAAAAATTAGAAAATTTAAAACTGGTTCTGTACTTAAGGC